ATGCCATGTCGGGTAAGATGCCATTTGTTAATATTTTCCATGTTTATCTTTAGATAGCATTAGTGACGTGCTCGGTTTGTTCATTTGTAAGCCAGCGACAATATGACACTCGCTGTTCGTGTTTCAAAGATTGTGAATTTATCGAGGTAAATTAAAAAAGTACTGTTCTGTTAACATTTTACACGAAATTTAGAATTTACATTAATCTTTTGTAGACTTTATTTCACAAATACGTAGTGGATTACATTGAAGTTTAATATCAAGAGAATTTTTTAACCTCTTATATGATTTTTGATAGCACATGTTTTTGATATAGAAATTTCTGATAATATTTTTTCTAATCGTGTTGGGGTAAGATGCCATTTGTTAATACTTTCCATGTTTATCCTTAGATAGCATTAGTGGCACGCTCGGTTTGTTTATTTGTAAGCCAGCGATGATATAACACTCGCTGTTCGTGTTTATTTTCCAAGATTGTTAATTTTAAGAAAAAAATAATTCTTTATTTTTGGAATAACTAGTCTCTATTGTTGAGAAGCATAGCTGTTTATAAAAATTTTTATCCTTGCAGATCCTATATTGTGTTTTATTTAGTTGCGATATTAGGGCATTTTACCTCAGGTCTTGTGGTATCTTACTCAATAGGTTGGATAAGATGCCACTTTATAAGGTTTTTATTACTTTATTTATTTTATTACTGCGACGTAAAAGTCTTATGAAATACATGTAACTAAACCATAACAAATAAAACTAATCAAACTTTTCATTGGTTCTATATTCTTTTATGTATCGATAACGATTAAAAATATATCGCGATCCAAAGTTAACTATGGCATCTTCACCCGACTTACCCTATATAACACAATTAATCAGGTCGCGCGCGCGCGCGTGCTATTTCCTTTCCTAATAAATAAAAATTTTCTAACAAATATATAAAAACATCTTATGTCGATATTTCTCTCCATTTTAAGAGGAAAAACACGCACAAAAATACAAAATGTACAGACGAATATCACTCTTGAGTGCATACGTAAATAACGATTGTAAATGTACACGTGGACGCAAAATCTACTTGAGCCTCGTAAAACATTTTCCCGCGAGTGTATTGCGGGTTCAAAGTCGCTATAATTCACACGGACGATCATGTCGTTATGTACGTTGTCGTGCATACGGCTGTCTATGAGATGTGTACATTACCGCGGTTCGTGAGTATAGACACACATAACTGGTTTTCTGCATTTACGATTGCATTTCTAAACGTTGTTCTTGCGCACCTGTGCACGTGGAGTGCACTCGTGAGACGACCGTAACATTATTTCGTCGAGTACGTTTGTTAAACGGAGCAAATGATACGATTACAGAATCAGATCTTCAAGTGCAATTCCATTTAGAGAATTAATCATCGGTTCGTATATAGTTACGCATGATTGTCAGATATTTCAATAAATAATATTTATTAATTGGAATATTTGTTAAATAATATTTATCAATTGAAATTTCACAGAGAAAAATGTTCTGATTGTGAACTAATAAAAAAGCCCAACAAGAATAGCATTTTGATGAGATCAAATAGAATTTCTACCATAATCTCAACATATCAATACAAATTATTGAAATAAACCACGGCTAATATCTGACAATCACGTGCGTAATTATGGCTGTGTTCCAAAATTCACTGCCAGTGCTGAAACTCTATAGTGCACGTAACGTAAACTATAGATGTTTAGTCCTAGCAGTTAATTGTGAAACATGACCTATACATATATGCAAAATAGTGATTCATTCTTTAAATATAATTTTTTTACTTGTATTATTTTTCTTGCGGAGATGCCTATGTCACACACTGGACACGAAATAGTCATCAAAATGTAATTTTTGTTAAATCCTTTTTATTGGTTTTAATCAGAATATTTTTTCAATGTTAAATTAAATAAATTTTTGTGTTCAGATATCAATATATCTTTGAAATATCTATACGATTTAATTTTGAAATATTAAACGTAGAACGCGCGAAATGTATATCATTGAAATTTATTAAATCGTAGAAATGTATCAAATCAATAAATTGTAAATGCATAAGTCTATAAGTCGGAAACAGTTTTCCATTAATAGATATTTCGTCGCAAAATTTTAATACCGTTAAAGTTAAATCATAAAAGCCAACGCGCTGTAAAAATTTGTTGACAAATCTTTCCCAGTTTCATGTTGTAACATTTTCAACAGACATAAATGTTAGCGCATCGTTGATGACTATAGTACTTGAAGATTACTGTGATATTCCAAACGATAAATTAGAATAAACATGGAATACAGGAAAATCGGATGCCGAGTCACTATATATTGATCACTATATATTGATATTCTCACAGGCAACTTTAGCCCTTTGTTCCGCGGCTATAATCTTTCCAGTTAGTTTTGAATTCAATTTCCTGGGAGTGTCTCCTGATATATGGACCAGAAGAACTCCTATGGCTCAGTTTCAAAATTAAAATCACTGGCGACGTTGCATTACGCACGCGTTAGTCTGGATGGATAGAAACTTATAAAACGGCAATAAAATGACATGCGCGAGCGTAATAAATAATATAACGGTGAGCTGAATCCATCGACGACTCTACCATAATGACGAAATATCGACACGTATTCGCGCCTCGTCGAGCAAGCGGAAGTTTTGGTCGTTTCTATATATAATCGACGTCAATCCGACGTTGAAAAATAAAATTTCCTTAGTCCAAGCAAATGGACAAATTACAGAGTTTGTACCAAAATAAGTCGGTGATTTAATAAATACTACGTGGAAAAAATTTGTAAGAATAATCACGAACTTCTATACTACGGAAAAATATTCTATTGAAAATTCTAAGAAAAGTGATTAATAATTTCCTTTCTTTCTTTTAACTAACGATTATCTTTAACAAAGAATATTTTCTTGATAATAATCTTAAAACGCACTTATTATAAATTTTAGGAAAACTCATTATTATGTACTCAAAACAAGAATTTATTTTCTTCCGAAGAATGTTATAAAATTCAAATAAGAAACGATTTCACATAATAAGTAAATTGAATTTATCGAAAGTAATTAACGTGCAGTCATATTTTTGAGATAAAAAATTTATTTAAAATAATATATATGTCTAACATTTTTAACTTTGATCGTAATTGGCGTTTCTCATATTTAAATGATTTATTGATATAAACAATCCTTTTCGTCACTTCTATGAGATTTAGAGCTAATATTGATGACGGACAGACGGTCAGAGATAGACGAAGCGAAAACAAGAACGCGGGAAGAGGAAAAGCGGGAAATATTTCGCCCGGGAGCAGATATCAAAGAAAGGGAGACAACCGTGGATAGTTTGCCCACGTAACAGGACAGCTCGGTAATTCCGCTTCGTAGTTTTCCCATTATCCGTGCCCATGTGAGCGTGCCCATGTGAGCGTGCCCATGTGAGCGTGTATATTTCGCTTTGCGCATATTTAACCCTTTGCTGTACGGCAGTGCATAAAGTTGCCGTCATTATAAAGACTAACACATAGGCCGGAAGATACGAACCAGATATATTCGCCGTCGTCCAACCGTTCTCCACTTATTTGCAATTCCAAAGTAAAATGTTGAGCCTCTGGATCTGTGGGCAACGCTGCGAATCGGTATTAATATTAGAATCATAAAGCGTGGCCTGAGAAGCACATTTCACTAGCGCCGTGATAATATATGTATATGTGTATGAATACGAAAGAATATTTCCGTATTTTCTTTCAATTATTTTGCGTCTCGCAAATTTGTACTTTGAACGAATCTCCGATTATTTCACTTAAAGACATAGTCAAGACTGTCAAGAGACTTGAGATAATTTTATAATACAATACATTTCAATTTTCAATCTACATTTAAGGATTGTAACGAACAATTGAGTTGCTAAGATTAACAAGATAAAAGAGTATTATTCTCATAGAATTACTGTTACTATCATCTCTTCACCGCCATTATGTTTGATATGACCCAAATGGTGGGCTACCATTTCTATGTCTAATATTCATACATATACACAGGAATAGAATGTAACGCGTTACTAATTGTGATGTCGTTACCGTTACTATTTTATAATAACGATTTGGTAATGACTACAATTTTTTATGACTGTGACGATAAAGCCAGGATTGGAAAAATTACTTTTGAAAAATAACTTGTTATCATTATGTGTTATTCATTAAAAAAAAGTATCTCCTTATGAAACGAGTAAAAAAATAAGAAAGTACTTTTTTAAAAATTACTTTTCTCCAACCCTATTATTATCGTTAATGCCATGAAAAATTGTAAAGTCATTACCAAATATTATATATAAAAAATAACGATAATAATAACGGTGTAACAAGTAACCCGTTACTTTCCTGCATATACATAATCATATATTGTATATAGTACGCATACATAATAAGTAGGGATAGACAGGAACTTCCTTGTTTTCGCTTCGTCTATCGGTGACCGTCTGTCTGTTATCAATATTAGCTCTAAATCTCGCAGAAGTGACGAAAAGTCACATTAAAATAAAAAAATACAATAAATAGATCGTGTAAATAAAAAGTTCTTTTAAATTAATTAATAAAATAAAAATGAATCATCTTTGAACTTATATCGTAATAATTTATACAATGATTTATCATCTTATGTGATATAACGCATATAAGTACATTACATTCGATTCAGTTTGCCCTCTGTTAATATAACTTTAAGCTTCTGTTCTAGATGTTAAACTTAATTCCTGCCGTTTTTCGTATCTAAAATTGATTTGTTTCGAAGGGAAATACCTTAATCAAAGTATTATTAATGAAGTATTATTAATTAGTAACAAAGTAGAAAATGGAGGAAATTACTTTGATTAAGGTATTCATTCATCTTCCCTTCAAAACAAATCAATTTTGGAGACAAAAAACGGCAGGAATTAAGTTCAACACCTAATATAAGTAAACAATCGACATTGTAACATGTGGAAATTTAGTTCAATGCGATAAATTCTCCGTTTGGGTAACGATTTTAAGATATGCTTCTCTTATATTTCCAGGATGTTCAGGAAATCCAGACGCAAAACGATTATATGACGATCTCTTATCGAATTACAACAAGTTGGTTCGTCCAACGTTCAATGCTACAGACAACCTCACCGTTAAAATAAAACTGAAACTGTCGCAGATCATCGACGTTGTAAGCAATAATATTCTTGCAGTCACATTACTCGTAAAATAATATGAGAAAAAATAAGCGAGAATTGTGGATTTAAATATTAAAATTAAATATTTAAATTATAACAGAAAAGTAAATATTTTTATATAGTAAATATTTTTATATAGTAATGGCTTAATAGTGAATTTTTAAACATTATTATTTACGTTATTTGAACGCGAATTCTAGCTGCGTACTTTACATTCCATAATGATAAAAATTGTTATAGCAGATGCTACTGATGCGTACATATAACAGTTCGTAGTCCACTTTTTAATTATCTCAGAAGAGTATAAGATATGTCGGCTCATAACGGAATATTGCAATATTTTCAGAGTATGGGAGAACGATGATGATTCTCACAAAATTATTCTCTTGCAGAATTTGAAGAATCAGGTCATGACAACGAACCTCTGGGTCGAACAGGTAATAAAAAATAATCACATAATATAAGAATTAAGATAGAGAGAATTGGGGAAAATTAATATTTGATGTCCTTTTACACTGGTCAAGTTTTCACGTACGACTCGCATAATAAGCTGATAAGAATTGTCAAATACGGAAATACGTGGATCTCCAATTTGCGAACTGTGCAAATAGAATTTAATTTTATCAACACAATCAAACTGCATAATTATTACTTTTTTCCTCTCCAATATAATTTTTATTGAACGTATCTTAACACTTGTAACCGTAATATGGGTAACTAGTGACCGAGCAATTCCTAATATCCTAAATATGCGACGAAAAATCGGTTCATTAGAAAGCAAATACCTTACAATAGAATTATATAGTGTTGCTCGATAAATATTCTGACTCTTCTTATCGAGATCTAACAAGCATAAATAAAAATATATTTATATGTATTTTATATAATATCATTATATATTGAATCCTCTTTGTAGTATTTTCAGAGAATAGCTATAAAAGTCATACTTTTCTCTCGGTATTATATATGTATACAAATATTGTTTTAATTTCGTTTGCATAACTTTTCTGCACGCGCGTTCTAGATTTTATTATCGTATTTCTCTTGTCAGATATTTGTACTTATCGAAAATTTTAATTATTATCCATCGTTGAAAACAATCAAAAAATAAAATGGAATGAATGACGAGATTGGTAATAGAAATAAAATCAGAATAAATTGAAATTTAGATCAAAACTTGAAATTGATATCAATTTCATTACAAATTTCAATTTATTCTGACTTCATAAGTCCTTGTTAGGACGTTAGCACAAGTTAAATGTTAACAATATTTAACTCTCCGTGAACCAGATGGGGTGTGACATACCCCAGCAAAATAAATTTCTATAATTTCCTAAAAAGAAACCGCACGCATGTTGCCGGTTTCGTGCAACTGGAGAGTGCGTTATTACCAATCATACTAAATTATTGTATTGTATTTATGATTAAGTATAGCATAGGGTATCAGATATGTATCCGCATATGATCCATGTTGATTTTCCACTTGATTTGCGGAGGATTAAGGATGTATAATATGTATCTTAAAACATTGCCAAAAATATAAAAATTTCCTAGATTGTTCTATTACTACATCTAAATGTCAGTGTAAAATTTGAGCACAATTCTTTTATTGGTTTAAAAGTATTTAATTTTTTTGTTAGTCTTGATTCTTACGTAAAATCGTGTTTTGTAGTACTTATTTGTAAATTTGATGAAAAAGTGACATTAAGAATAAAATCAAATTTTAAACGTATACTGATTAAATAATAATAAATATTTGTGCAAAAATTTATTTAGAATCACTTATTCGTTTACGCAAGTTATTAACCTAAAACTGCAGAAAAATATGGTCATTTTGCTGCATAAAATCATTATAAATTTATTTGTTGTTTTGTTCTTTGCAATTGATTTTTTAGAACATACTTACAGGCTATCATATCATCTTGATATTTTGAATGGTATTAGCTTACTTTGACTAATTATTTGACTGATATTTTTAGCTGATATTGTATAGCCAAAACATGCCTCTCCTTATAACACCTTTATTTGTTATTAAGTCTTTGTTTACATTATTAAGATGCGTTAAATAAAAATTATATTGGAGAGGTAAAAAGTAATAATTATGAAGTTTGATTGTATTGATAAAATTAAATTCTATTTGCACAGTTTGCAAATTAGAGATCCACATATTTCTGTATTTGATAATTCTTATCAGCTTAGTATGCGAGTCGTGAGTGAAAACTTCACCAGCGTGAAAGAATATCAAATATTAATATGTGCGATAAACCAGGCACATCGTTGTTGATGTTCGGGTATACTCTCAGTTCGGAGAGTTATGAATCAATGCTATGCCATCCTAAAGTTCGAAATATCCACCGCATCACGCATTAATGTTATCACAAAGTTCGCGCACGAAAATGTTAATTTAGCCGCAATTTATCGACGGGATTAATCGGTTCGTGCTGGTGCAAGCAGGCTGAAAATGTCCACATTGCGAATAAATTGTTTGCCGATTTTTTACATTAAACTTTTTAAACGCAACTTTATAACAATTGTAATTTCTATTATCGGCTTGTGACAACATTACAACTCTTCGATCCATATAATAAATTTAATAAAACATTTTACCGTTTGTGACAGTTAGCGTTATATTTGAATTACATTAAAATTTAAATCGCGACATTTAATTATTACAAATAGTTATACATTAAAGAATTCGGGGAATTGGAAGATCAATAGAAAATATATAACGAGTAATCATTTGATCCATTGTGGTTAAATTTAATTCCCTACTGTACAGTGTGTCAGAGTTGCAAATGGATTACGAGAATTACGTATTTCGTGATAAATATTTAATAAATTACCTCGTAGAATGTGCGCACGGTTCGCTATTTAACTAAGCTACCTTTGGTTCAGTTAAACATGGTCAAATTTCCCAGAATAGAGTCATGTCCAGCTATATGCCGGCATAATATTCTATCTAGCAAACATAGGGACGCGTGGACGAAGAGAGACTTCGGCTTCGAGCTAATATTCAACATGCTCTACGCATAAAGGCTGTGTCCACCCCTGAAGGAGGCGCATTTCCGACGACCAGCTATGTCGGTGGCGTCAGCACTCCATCATTCGCTATTCCAGTGATATGAGTAGGAAATTGACAGTAGTAAAAACGATTTGTAATTACTAAAGCTAATTTACTATGTTCGCAATTAATTTACTCGAAATTTTACAAGCCAACGCAATAATGGACGGAACTTATTAGTTTTTTACTTCTTTTCTTTCAAAAAATATCTGTAACAAAAGGATACAGATAATTTTTAAATAATCAGAAATCGAAAATAAAATAGATTGAAAACCTCGTTTAATTTTTATTATTTTAAAAAAAATTAAAAATATTAGTACATTTCTTACTTTTAACTTGGAATAGATTTTTTATTTTAATTTAAAGCACAATTGCAAAGATGTAAGACATTTGTACTTTCAAAAACTCTAAAGAATAATGACTTTCTTGACATTTTTATCGAGAAAGAACTGACTTCGAAATCGCATTCAAAAGTTCATCGAAAAAATTTGGTCCATTTGTAAGGTACTTAATTCATAAAACTTAGATATCATTAACAAAAATATTTGAAAATTTTGTTGATACACAATGCGTTGTCTCACACACACACACACATGCGCGCGCACGCACGCGCACGCACGCACACGCACACACACAATGCTAAGCTTATTTTTTAATCATGCTATAAAATCCTGAGAAAAGAAAAATCGGTCTTTGTATCATCCACAAAATTCAATAAATCAAAACGGCATAGAAATTTTTTAATAAAACGTGCAGTTTTAATCGAACAATGTGAACAAACAAGGAGAAGAAGTTCGTATGTAAATCTGCGCATTTCAGCTTTACAACTTGCAATGAGGAAAGTTACAAAATATTGCCTCTGTGCATTTGAAGTAACTTCAGCGTGATTTCCCGATCCTTTGTTGCTTCTCATTTTAAATACATGAATTAGGATGCGATAGATAAATTCATTGACGAGCTTCTAGAAAAAGCATCTACCTATCGTATTTACAATTGTGATGGAAAAACATAAAATGCGCGAACTTTTTTATGATATTTTGTTTCATGCAACAATATATCAATTCTCTTTTATTCCAAACAGTTTTTCACATTGATATATTCAATCATTGATATTTACGACATTGTTCATGCAAAAATATGAGTTTGTTTTTTATAGGAACGATAACACTTTTTAAGCAACAAAAAGTTAAAAATAGCATGATGTGGTATTAAGTTACATTTATTAATACAAGAGATTAGGTCACTGTAATTATTGTAGTAAAAAACTAGATTTTAGAATTAACTAAATAGAGAATGTATGTGTGTATCTAAAAATGTGCCTATTAAATTTATTTGAAACATGTTTTAATTATTAGAACCATCATTTTGAAGAAAACAGTTTTGAGAAAAACGTAACTTATTAACTTAATTGATTTTCTAATTGCAATGTTTAATACAATAATTTGAATAATTAATGGGAAATAATGTTTACGTATATAATTTTATTTGCTCCAAGAATGATAATCGTAAAATCAATTCTATTATATCCATGTTCAATCAAGAGCATAAAAATCAATACTGCGTCAGAGAATAGACGACTAGCATGATTTTTTGGTCAACGAATAAATAACAGATGAAGAAAGAATCTATCATGACCTGGCGTATGAACATATTAGTTTACGAATATAATTATAACTATCGATTATTCTTGCTCGAAGTTTTTATATTAGACATGTTAAGGAGGTAGTCGAGTGGCAGTCACTTCCAAAAGTTAGTTTGTGTACAAACGGCTAAACTTTTTGACGCAATGATACAGCATTGACCAATGAGATCGCTTCACGCACACACTCGTCCTGTACCATTCGTGTTGACAAAGATGTGGCAACGTCCTGTTTCCCAAAACATACCTATCACTGTAACTTATAATTTATATTCCAGTTTTTTTACAATATTTTATCCGCATAATTCAGATAAATTCACTTGTTTTGGTTATGTATGTGTCATAATACGCCTTGTGGGAGATTCCGTTCGGTTGAATCGATGAGCGACGTTGCCACATGTACGCAACCCCCTCTATTCTGACGAATATCATTATTTTCATATCGCTTTTATTAAAAAAGTATGTGGCTACGAGTCACCAATTTTGTTTATATCATTGCTAACATTATTATATACAACATATCAGTTTTTTAAAAAGTTCGTAAATTCCGATCCCTTTCATATCAAATTTAATGTGCATTTCATGATAGCATGGAATAGGGCTTACATATTAAATTCGTGAACTTTGAAACGAAATATTTCGCTTATCCTGTGACTACGACATCTGAAAATTTAACGATTGTTATGCATACGATCAACATATGCTAATTTTTTTAGAATTTTCGTAAAATTTTCGATTTACTCGACTACCTCCTTAAAGCAACGAACATTACGACTCATTATTTTTGACGGACATCATCCCAGTAATAGGAGCGTTGATCTATTGAAAATTTACACAATAGACAAGACAAATGACGTAAAAATGCGGTTTTCATAAATTGAAAGTGCAAAAAAAAACATGACACAAAGAAATAGTTGATATATCCAATAAATAATTTTTAATTATTGCACGATGTGATTTTATTTTATCATCAAAAAAGGATGTTTTCCAATTTTTATTATTGATAATTTGATGTCGACTAAAAATTTTATAAATTTTTAAGCAGAGAAAGGAAATCTTTGCATGAACGGTAATAGTGGACCAGCACCATTTGTAGTTGAAATAAATATTTAAGATAAATGATTTGGATAAATATATAAACAGTTTTACACACTGTCACATCCGTCAAATTTATCATTCTTACATATTGAACATGAGCTTTAGCAATAATTATACGGTATGTACATGTGTATATTGTAAAATTGTTTATATATTTATCCAAATCATTTATCTTAAATATTTATTTCAACTACAAATGAGAATGCGCGTATGATTGATATCTAGTGCGACATTTTGAGGCTTCAGTATTGTGACAACGACAGTGCACTGCTCTTAAAGAACATGCTCGCAAATTCCGATATTGGCGGCTAAGACGGATGTACTGTGTGATTTTATTGAGAAGCGCTATAAAAGAACATGATATTTTTCTGCAGTGGCCTAATTCTTTGAAAGAGACGTAATAAAAGTAAAAGTGACAAAATGACAGAAAAGATAGAAATGTGCGATAATGTTACATTGATTCTTTGTTCGTAGACATGGTACGATTACAAGCTGAAATGGGATCCGAAGGAGTACGGTGGAGTAGAGATGCTGCATGTGCCATCAGATCATATATGGAGGCCCGATATAGTTTTATATAACAAGTAAGATGATATCATTGATCGAAAGATAACGATTAGATTTATCTTTCCTTTTTTTAATATGCGTTAATTGGCATAGAATATTGTCGAGTTGAATAAATTACTGATTAAAACACAAGTAAATGTATCGCAAATGTATAATGTTTGATATAAGAATGCGTAAGTGATTATTTTATATTATTAAACATTTTTTTTTATATAATTACCGAAAAATTATATGTACTCTCTGTTAATACGAGGGGCACTACTTATATTTTGAGCCTTGGCAACACTGAGTGTTGTCAGGTGCCATCGGACGTTTCCACTAGAAAGTTTGACATTTTTGACCATAACTTTCTTCAGAACGTTTTGTTATTTGAGCGCGATTTGTATTGTTTACAGTCACTTGAAAATTGTGTCTCAGCGAAAAAATGGAATTAACTCGTGAAAATTTTCGTGCAATGATTTATTACGACTTTCGACGTGGATTATCAAGACAGGAGTGCATCGATCAACTTACTTCCACTTTTGGCGATAAAGCCCCATCCTTTGCCACTGTGAAACGCTGGTATAACGAATTTAATCGTGGTCGCCGTTCGCTCACCGACGAAAGTCGTGAAAGTCATCCAAAATCAGTTGTTGTATCAGAAAACATTGATGCTGTGCAAAAACTAATAATGCAAGATCGCCATGTGACATACTGTGAGATTGAGACAACCTTGGGCATTAGTTCCACCAGCATATATGAAATATTGCATAATCATTTAGCCGTGAAAAAGGTTTGTTCTCGTTGGATCCCACATAATCTGACAAAATCTCAAAAAGATGCTCGTGTCAATTGGTGCAAACAAATGCTTAAGAAATACAATGGCGGGGCTTCAAAAGACGTGTATAAGATTGTAACAGGTGACGAATCATGGATCTATGCGTATGAGCCGGAAATTAAACAGCAGTCGACTGTATGGGTATTTCAAGATGAACCAAATCCAACAAAAGTTGTTCGCGCTCGAAGCACTTTGAAACAAATAGTCGCCTGTTTTTTCGGAAAAACTGGTCATGTGGCAACAGTGCCTTCAGAGGAACGTAGAACGGTCAATTCTGAATGGTACACAACCATTTGTTTGCCGGAAGTCTTCAATGAAATAAGGAAAACAAACAAGCGCCGCCGGATCATTCTTCATCAAGACGATGCCAGCTGTCACACATCTCGTCTAACAACCGACTATTTGAACACTCAAAAAATCGATTTAATGGGTTATCCGCCGTACAGTCCTGATTTGGCACCAAATGACTTCTTTTTGTTCCAGAACGTCAAGAATAAATTGCGTGGACAACGATTTTCGTCGGCAGAAGAAGCCGTTGATGCGTTCAAAGACCATATTTTGGAGGTGTCTCAAGCGGAATGGAAAAAATGCTTTGACAAGTGGTTCGAACGCATGCAAAAGTGTATAGATCATAAAGGAGAATATTTTGAAAAACAATAAACAAATTATTGTTTATTTATTATTATTTTTATTATTAGGCTGAAAATATAAATAGTGACCCTCGTATAGAAAATTTACATCTCTATTATTACCAATTGTTTTCAAGCCGAATTTTTCCACATTTTTAATTTAATTTTTAACATGTTTTGAGACAACAACACTGAAGATTAAAATTATAAGCATACTTTACATGATGGAGCATACTTTTACATTTAAAAAATAAACAAGCTGTTTCCTGAATAATAGAACACACTCTTTTGTGTGACAAACTATACAGGATGTTCGTTGGGGCTATACGTGCTAAGTAAAAGTTAATTTTTTATGAAACCATGTTTAATAGTGCATTTAATCAAATAAAGACTTATCAATAATTCAATAGTAAAACTTCTTGTATAACTGCTAAACAAGTCGCTGCTTTAGACCGTTGTTATTTATAACTAATAGTTATTTTGATCTCTCTACCGTTTTTACTTATTTAAAATTATAAAAATTAGTAGGTATACTATAGCGGTTCTAACCCATGGGGCTAGAGGGGAGTGCGGGGCGGGAGGGTACTTGTAGGCGCAGAGGCCCCGGCGTTATCGAGTGTTTATATAAACACCCGAAAAAATGCGTTTGTGGTCGCCACCGCCGCCACCA